GTTCAGACATTTCTCGGCGAGCCCGAGCGAGGTGACTTTTGAGTCGACTCAAAAGTTCCGCGATGTTCAGACATTTCTCGGCGAGCCCGAGCGAGGTCACTTTTGAGTCGACTCAAAAGTTCCGCGATGTTCAGACATTTCTCGGCGAGCCCGAGCGAGGTGACTTTTGAGTCGACTCAAAAGTTCCGCCATGTTCAGACATTTCTCGGCGAGCCCGAGCGAGGTGACTTTTGAGTCGACTCAAAAGTTCCGCGATGTTCAGACATTTCTCGGCGAGCCCGAGCGAGGTGACTTTTGAGTCGACTCAAAAGTTCCGCCATGTTCAGACATTTCTCGGCGAGCCCGAGCGAGGTGACTTTTGAGTCGACTCAAAAGTTCCGCGATGTTCAGACATTTCTCGGCGAGCCCGAGCGAGGTGACTTTTGAGTCGACTCAAAAGTTCCGCGATGTTCAGACATTTCTCGGCGAGCCCGAGCGAGGTGACTTTTGAGTCGACTCAAAAGTTCCGCCATGTTCAGACATTTCTCGGCGAGCCCGAGCGAGGTGACTTTTGAGTCGACTCAAAAGTTCCGCCATGTTCAGACATTTCTCGGCGAGCCCGAGCGAGGTGACTTTTGAGTCGACTCAAAAGTTCCGCGATGTTCAGACATTTCTCGGCGAGCCCGAGCGAGGTCACTTTTGATTCGACTCAAAAGTTCCGCGATGTTCAGACATTTCTCGGCGAGCCCGAGCGAGGTGACTTTTGAGTCGACTCAAAAGTTCCGCGATGTTCAGACATTTCTCGGCGAGCCCGAGCGAGGTGACTTTTGAGTCGACTCAAAAGTTCCGTGATGTTCAGACATTTCTCGACGAGCCCGAGCGAGGTGACTTTTGAGTCGACTCAAAAGTTCCGCGATGTTCAGACATTTCTCGGCGAGCCCGAGCGAGGTGACTTTTGATTCGACTCAAAAGTTCCGCGATGTTCAGACATTTCTCGGCGAGCCCGAGCGAGGTGACTTTTGAGTCGACTCAAAAGTTCCGCGATGTTCAGACATTTCTCGGCGAGCCCGAGCGAGGTGACTTTTGAGTCGACTCAAAAGTTCCGTGATGTTCAGACATTTCTCGGCGAGCCCGAGCGAGGTGACTTTTGAGTCGACTCAAAAGTTCCGCGATGTTCAGACATTTCTCGGCGAGCCCGAGCGAGGTGACTTTTGAGTCGACTCAAAAGTTCCGCGATGTTCAGACATTTCTCGGCGAGCCCGAGCGAGGTGACTTTTGAGTCGACTCAAAAGTTCCGCGATGTTCAGACATTTCTCGGCGAGCCCGAGCGAGGTGACTTTTGAGTCGACTCAAAAGTTCCGCGATGTTCAGACATTTCTCGGCGAGCCCGAGCGAGGTGACTTATGAGTCGACTCAAAAGTTCCGCCATGTTCAGACATTTCTCGGCGAGCCCGAGCGAGGTGACTTTTGAGTCGACTCAAAAGTTCCGCCATGTTCAGACATTTCTCGGCGAGCCCGAGCGAGGTGACTTTTGAGTCGACTCAAAAGTTCCGCCATGTTCAGACATTTCTCGGCGAGCCCGAGCGAGGTGACTTTTGAGTCGACTCAAAAGTTCCGCGATGTTCAGACATTTCTCGGCGAGCCCGAGCGAGGTCACTTTTGAGTCGACTCAAAAGTTCCGCGATGTTCAGACATTTCTCGGCGAGCCCGAGCGAGGTGACTTTTGAGTCGACTCAAAAGTTCCGCCATGTTCAGACATTTCTCGGCGAGCCCGAGCGAGGTGACTTTTGAGTCGACTCAAAAGTTCCGCGATGTTCAGACATTTCTCGGCGAGCCCGAGCGAGGTCACTTTTGAGTCGACTCAAAAGTTCCGCGATGTTCAGACATTTCTCGGCGAGCCCGAGCGAGGTGACTTTTGAGTCGACTCAAAAGTTCCGCCATGTTCAGACATTTCTCGGCGAGCCCGAGCGAGGTGACTTTTGAGTCGACTCAAAAGTTCCGCCATGTTCAGACATTTCTCGGCGAGCCCGAGCGAGGTGACTTTTGAGTCGACTCAAAAGTTCCGCCATGTTCAGACATTTCTCGGCGAGCCCGAGCGAGGTGACTTTTGAGTCGACTCAAAAGTTCCGCGATGTTCAGACATTTCTCGGCGAGCCCGAGCGAGGTCACTTTTGAGTCGACTCAAAAGTTCCGCGATGTTCAGACATTTCTCGGCGAGCCCGAGCGAGGTGACTTTTGAGTCGACTCAAAAGTTCCGCGATGTTCAGACATTTCTCGGCGAGCCCGAGCGAGGTGACTTTTGATTCGACTCAAAAGTTCCGCGATGTTCAGACATTTCTCGGCGAGCCCGAGCGAGGTGACTTTTGAGTCGACTCAAAAGTTCCGCGATGTTCAGACATTTCTCGGCGAGCCCGAGCGAGGTCACTTTTGAGTCGACTCAAAAGTTCCGCGATGTTCAGACATTTCTCGGCGAGCCCGAGCGAGGTGACTTTTGAGTCGACTCAAAAGTTCCGCCATGTTCAGACATTTCTCGGCGAGCCCGAGCGAGGTGACTTTTGAGTCGACTCAAAAGTTCCGCGATGTTCAGACATTTCTCGGCGAGCCCGAGCGAGGTCACTTTTGAGTCGACTCAAAAGTTCCGCGATGTTCAGACATTTCTCGGCGAGCCCGAGCGAGGTGACTTTTGAGTCGACTCAAAAGTTCCGCCATGTTCAGACATTTCTCGGCGAGCCCGAGCGAGGTGACTTTTGAGTCGACTCAAAAGTTCCGCCATGTTCAGACATTTCTCGGCGAGCCCGAGCGAGGTGACTTTTGAGTCGACTCAAAAGTTCCGCGATGTTCAGACATTTCTCGGCGAGCCCGAGCGAGGTGACTTTTGATTCGACTCAAAAGTTCCGCGATGTTCAGACATTTCTCGGCGAGCCCGAGCGAGGTGACTTTTGAGTCGACTCAAAAGTTCCGCGATGTTCAGACATTTCTCGGCGAGCCCGAGCGAGGTGACTTTTGAGTCGACTCAAAAGTTCCGCAATGATCAGACATTTCTCGGCGAGCCCGAGCGAGGTGACTTTTGAGTCGACTCAAAAGTTCCGCGATGTTCAGACATTTCTCGGCGAGCCCGAGCGAGGTGACTTTTGAGTCGACTCAGAAGTTCCGCGATGTTCAGACATTTCTCGGCGAGCCCGAGCGAGGTGACTTTTGAGTCGACTCAAAAGTTCCGCGATGTTCAGACATTTCTCGGCGAGCCCGAGCGAGGTGACTTTTGAGTCGACTCAAAAGTTCCGCCATGTTCAGACATTTCTCGGCGAGCCCGAGCGAGGTGACTTTTGAGTCGACTCAAAAGTTCCGCCATGTTCAGACATTTCTCGGCGAGCCCGAGCGAGGTGACTTTTGAGTCGACTCAAAAGTTCCGCGATGTTCAGACATTTCTCGGCGAGCCCGAGCGAGGTGACTTTTGAGTCGACTCAAAAGTTCCGCGATGTTCAGACATTTCTCGACGAGCCCGAGCGAGGTGACTTTTGAGTCGACTCAAAAGTTCCGCGATGTTCAGACATTTCTCGGCGAGCCCGAGCGAGGTGACTTTTGATTCGACTCAAAAGTTCCGCGATGTTCAGACATTTCTCGGCGAGCCCGAGCGAGGTGACTTTTGAGTCGACTCAAAAGTTCCGCGATGTTCAGACATTTCTCGGCGAGCCCGAGCGAGGTGACTTTTGAGTCGACTCAAAAGTTCCGCCATGTTCAGACATTTCTCGGCGAGCCCGAGCGAGGTGACTTTTGAGTCGACTCAAAAGTTCCGCGATGTTCAGACATTTCTCGGCGAGCCCGAGCGAGGTGACTTTTGAGTCGACTCAAAAGTTCCGTGATGTTCAGACATTTCTCGGCGAGCCCGAGCGAGGTGACTTTTGAGTCGACTCAAAAGTTCCGCGATGTTCAGACATTTCTCGGCGAGCCCGAGCGAGGTGACTTTTGAGTCGACTCAAAAGTTCCGCGATGTTCAGACATTTCTCGGCGAGCCCGAGCGAGGTGACTTTTGAGTCGACTCAAAAGTTCCGCGATGTTCAGACATTTCTCGGCGAGCCCGAGCGAGGTGACTTTTGAGTCGACTCAAAAGTTCCGCCATGTTCAGACATTTCTCGGCGAGCCCGAGCGAGGTGACTTTTGAGTCGACTCAAAAGTTCCGCCATGTTCAGACATTTCTCGGCGAGCCCGAGCGAGGTGACTTTTGAGTCGACTCAAAAGTTCCGCCATGTTCAGACATTTCTCGGCGAGCCCGAGCGAGGTGACTTTTGAGTCGACTCAAAAGTTCCGCCATGTTCAGACATTTCTCGGCGAGCCCGAGCGAGGTGACTTTTGAGTCGACTCAAAAGTTCCGCGATGTTCAGACATTTCTCGGCGAGCCCGAGCGAGGTCACTTTTGAGTCGACTCAAAAGTTCCGCGATGTTCAGACATTTCTCGGCGAGCCCGAGCGAGGTGACTTTTGAGTCGACTCAAAAGTTCCGCGATGTTCAGACATTTCTCGGCGAGCCCGAGCGAGGTGACTTTTGATTCGACTCAAAAGTTCCGCGATGTTCAGACATTTCTCGGCGAGCCCGAGCGAGGTGACTTTTGAGTCGACTCAAAAGTTCCGCGATGTTCAGACATTTCTCGGCGAGCCCGAGCGAGGTCACTTTTGAGTCGACTCAAAAGTTCCGCGATGTTCAGACATTTCTCGGCGAGCCCGAGCGAGGTGACTTTTGAGTCGACTCAAAAGTTCCGCCATGTTCAGACATTTCTCGGCGAGCCCGAGCGAGGTGACTTTTGAGTCGACTCAAAAGTTCCGCGATGTTCAGACATTTCTCGGCGAGCCCGAGCGAGGTCACTTTTGAGTCGACTCAAAAGTTCCGCGATGTTCAGACATTTCTCGGCGAGCCCGAGCGAGGTGACTTTTGAGTCGACTCAAAAGTTCCGCCATGTTCAGACATTTCTCGGCGAGCCCGAGCGAGGTGACTTTTGAGTCGACTCAAAAGTTCCGCGATGTTCAGACATGTCTCAGCGAGCTTGCGTGAGCGAGTTGCGCGATGTTCAGGAATGTCTCAGCGATATCGCTGAGAAATGTCTGAACATGGCGGTGCGGGTGCGTGCGAGTTCCAAGGTTTCTTTCTTCCTCTTCTCCTTCTTCTTCTTCATTATCACCCCCATGCTTCCCTCCCATGCCTGTTGTTGTTCTCCCTCCCCCTTCTCCCTCTCAGGTTCGGCAGCGGCACGGGTGTATGTGTCTTCCTTGGTCTCTTCTCTTCTTCATCTCCTTATTCTTCCCCAATTTGCTCACCCCCCCTCCCCATGCACGCCTCCCATGCCTGCCTGTTGTCTTTTCTCACGTTCCTCCTGCCGGCAGCGGCACAGGTGCCAGTGTCCCACAGTCCCCCTGGTTCTCTTCTTCATATATTTCTTTTTTCGCCACCATCACACCCGTGCTTCCCTCCCATGCCTGTTGTTGTTTTCCCTCCCCTTTCTCCCTCTCAGGTTCGGCAGTGGCACGGGTGCATGTGTGTCCCCGCCCCGAGTCCCTTCTTCAACACCTTCCTCCCCATTTTTCTCCCTTACCCCCCCCCACCCGCATGCATGCCTCCCATGCCTGCCTGTTGTCTTCTCTCAGGTTCGGCAGCGGCACGGGTGCATGTGTCTTCCTTGGTCTCTTCTTTACCTCTTTCTTCTTTTCCACCATCACTCTCATCCTTGCTGCTGCCCGCGTGGTGAGTTGGAAAGGTGGTGTGTTGTGCAGTGCAGTGCAGTGTGGTGGTGGTGTGGTGTGGTGCGGTGTAGTGTGGTGCAGTGCAGTGTGGTGGTGTGGTGTGGTGCGGTGGTGTTCCTGAGTCTCCTCTCCACCTCCTTCTTTGCCACCATCACCCTCATCCTTAGCGCTGCCGGTGCGGTGAATTGGATTTGTGGTATGCGGTGTGATGTGGTGTGGTCTGGTCTGGTCTGGTCCAATGCAATGTGGTGTAAGCTTGCACCATAGCTTGCACTACCTGTTAGAACTTGAGCTCTGAATCCATGCATTAGTAATGAGCTTGAAGCTCTAGTACATCCAGGATGGGCAAGGAAAGGATGGGGAAGGGAATCTAGGGCAATCTCTAGAGATTGGGGGTAATCCCAAGGCAATCTCCAATTGGTGGGTTGGAGATTGCTTGGAGATCACATTTGGGTTTGGTTGGGATGTAGGTGTACACCCAACCAAACACAAAGTGCAAACTACACTACGCTAGGATATAGAAAGTGCAAAATACAAAGTGTGAGATTGAGGGCTAACACTAACACTACCATCATCAACCTGTCCCGCTCCTCCCCTACTCCTCCACCCACTCCCCTCAGCAACCACGCCTTGACTTGTGAGTCGGGACCAGGGCCTGTCACTATGTTTCCACTGCTCCAGCTGCAATGCATTGCTTGCACCAGCACCAGCACCCTACCTCTCTGCTTCCCTGCTGCTCCCCATCCCTCCCCCACGCCTCCCCACCCCCCACCAATATCAAAGGTCTCCACTTATCTTTCCTCCGGTGCCTGTTGATGCCAATTCTGGTTTTTGAGAAATCTCAAAAACCGCCTCCCCACCCCCCACCAATATCAAAGGCCTCCACTTATCTTTCCTCCGCGTGTGATGAGACGATTTTTGAGTCAACTCAAAAATCGTCTCATCACACCCGCCTCCCCACCCCCCACCAATATCAAAGGCCTCCACTTATCTTTCCTCCGGTGCCGGTTGACGCCAATTCTGTGCCAGATGACGCCATCACATGTGTTTGACCCACCTATCTCCTCCCCATCCTCACTTCACACCACACCAGGGCTACGCCTTGTCTCGCGACAGGGGCCTCCCTTTGTCTTTCCTGTGGCGCCGAGTGAGCGCCCACAAGGTGCCAGAGAACGCCATAGCGTGCACCAGCGCCATTGTCTTCCTACTCCCATCCACCCTCACAGGGTTACGCCCTGTCTCGTGACCGCGGTCTCCTTCTCTCCTTCCTGTGGCGCCGAGTGAGCGCCCACAAGGTGCCAGTGAACGCCATAGCGTGCACCAGCGCCATTGTCTTCCTACTCCCATCCACCCTCACAGGGTTACGCCCTGTCTCGTGACCGCGGTCTCCTTCTCTCCTTCCTGTGGCGCCGAGTGAGCGCCCACAAGGTGCCAGTGAACGCCATAGCGTGCACCAGCGCCATTGTCTTCCTACTCCCATCCACCCTCACAGGGTTACGCCCTGTCTCGTGACCGCGGTCTCCTTCTCTCCTTCCTGTGGCGCCGAGTGAGCGCCCACAAGGTGCCTGTGAACGCCATCGCGTGCACCAGCGCCACCACCCTGTCCCTCTCCTTCCCTATTGTCTCATCCCCCCCCTCAGAGCTACGCCTTGTCTCGCGACCGCGGTCTCCCTCTCGCCTTCCTGTGGCGCCGAGTGAGCGCCCACAAGGTGCCAGTGAACGCCAATGCGTGCACCACCAGCGCCACCACCCTGTCCCTCTCCTCCCATACTTTCCCTTCGCCATGTTCCTCCCCCTTCTCCCTCCCCTCTAACCACTTTACACCAGGGCTACACCTTGTCTCGGGACAGGGGCCTGCCTCTCTCCTTCCTGTGGCGGCGAGTGAGCGCCCACAAGGTGCCGGTGAACGCCATAGCGTGCACCAGCGCCATCAACCTATCCCTCCTCTTCCCTACTGTCTCATCCACCCCCTCCTCCACGCCCTCTTCACTCCACACCAGGGCTACGCTTTGTCTCGCGACCGCGGCCTGCCTCTCTCTTTCGTGTGGCGGCGAGTGAGTGCCCACAAGGTGCCAGTGAACGCGATAGCGTGCACCAGCGCCATCGCCATCATGTTCCTCATGCCGCTGCTCGGAGGCTCCGTGGCCTACTTTGCTGTGACGGGGATGGCCACGGTGGGGTGGTTTGGCGCGTACGGAGTGCCGGTCTTCTTTCGGATTATCCAGTCTGACAGGGACTTTTCTCCGGGGCCCTTCTATCTTCCCAACTACATCGGGCACACGGGCGGGTGAGGAGGGGAGGGCGGGTGGGGAGAGAGAGGGGGAGATGGGGAGAGAAAGGGGAGGACGGGAGAGAGGGGAGGGAGGGGAGGGTGGGGAAGAGGAAGGGAAAAAGGGGAAAGATGGCAACGGTCGGGTGGTTTGGCGCGTACGGAGTGCCGGTCTTCTTTCGGATTATCCACTCGGACAAAGACTTTTCTCCGGGGCCCTTCTATCTGCCCAACTATGTCGGGCACACAGGCGGGTGAGGAGGGGCGGGCGGGATGGGAGGTAGGGGTGGTTGGGAGAGAGAGGGGTGGCAGCGGACAGAGGGGAAGGAGGGGAAGGGTTGGTGTTTCACTCCTTGTGCTTCTGTTTGGAGGGTCCTGTCTGTCTGTGGCCTGCTTTGCTTTCTTGTGACGGGGATGGCCACGGCGGGGTAGTTCGGCGCGTGCGGAGTGCCGGTCTTCTTTCGGATTATCCAGTCGGACAAAGACTTTTCTCCGGGGCCCTTCTATCTGCCCAACTATGTCGGGCACACGGGCGGGTGAGGAGGGGCGGGACGGGAGGTAGGGGTGGTTGGGAGAGAGAGGGGCGGGAGCGGACAGAGGGGAAGGAGGGGAAGGGTTGGTGTTTCACTCCTTGTGCTTCTGTTTGGGGGGTTCTGTCTGTCTGGCCTGCTTTGCTTTCTTGTGACGGGGATGGACACGGTGGGGTGGTTCGGCGCGTACGGAGTGCCGGTCTTCTTTCGGATTATCCAGTCTGACAAAGACTTTTCTCCGGGACCCTTCTATCTGCCCCACTACATCGGGCACACGGGCGGGTAAGAGGGATGCAAGAGAGGGGAAGAGGAGGGTTGGGAGAGAGGGGAAGAGGAGGGTTGGGAGAGAGGGGAAGAGGAGGGTTGGGAGAGAGGGGAAGAGGAGGGTTGGGAGAGGGTACCGTTTGGGTGTTTCGTTCCTTGTGCTCCATTTAGGGAGGTTCTGTCTGTCCCCTGCTTTTGCGATGACGGGGGATGGCCACGGTGGGGTGGGGGAGAGAGAAGTGGGGTGGGGGTGAGAGAGGGGTGGTGGGGGAAGAAGGGAGAGAGGGAGAGAGGGAGAGAGAGGTAAAGCAAGGGCTGAGGGCCATGGTGAAATGAAGACTATAAATCCCCCCTCCCCTTATAACCTGTTCATCACTCCCCGTCTCTTTCATACCCCTCGCCTTTTACTCCTTCACTTATGCCACTCTTCTTATCCCCCTTTCCCCATGTCCTTCCCCTTATCCCCCTTTCCTTCCCCTTATCCGCTTTACTTTCCAGCAAGTGTGTGCACGTCCTGGCTCTCACATACGTCATCTACACTATGGTTGTCTTCGTTATCCCTACGGAATATCCTGTAACGGCGGAGAATTTCAACTATGCAGCTGTGGGTATTGTGGTGGTGGTCGCCGTGTTTCTCCTATGGTGGTTTCTTGACGCTCACCGGTGGTTCAAAGGCCCGAAGATTGCAAAGCAAGAGGACCATGTCGACTCAAAACCACAGGAGCAACAGGAGCAATACCAGGTAAGTCGCTGGTTCCAGTAGTTGTGGGTTACATTGGACTAAGTGTGGCAATAAAGAGGTTGTATACAGACTCAGCCTCAATGTGTTGCACTAGAAACGTTACACTTGCTGTAACACATTCTTTATATTGTCTATCATTGCGTAGGGGCCGCCGCATACGGAAGGCTTAGCTTATGAGTCGTTTAATGTGGATCCACTTTATGTGTGGTAGTTTTTTACTTGAGCTGTAACTGTAGGACCATGCTGACATGCTGTTGTAGTGAACTTCGAGGTTTGGGGACAGACTCAACCTTTCATCACTGGACAATCTCAACCGTTCATCAGCATCTTCATCTGTTGCATAAATCTCGGTATTGCACTTTCTGATTAGCTGACAATCTCTTTCACCAATAGATGATCTAGAGGCATATCAGACAGACCCATCCCAGCCCAAATCCACGATCCGCGGACATGGAATCTCAAGCCACCAACGATTCCCTTTTGGATGTCGATCCCGCGCCGACGTGGAGCGGTGCTAATGGTGACGTCCTTTTTCCACACGAAATGCTCGTAGAAAAGGCCAAGTGTGCACCTCCGATGGTCTTCGACCACCATCGATGACCCGATACGCGTCAGCACGAAACGAAAAAGACGCAGCGTTGACCACTTGACACCGTGTGTCAAGAAGCATCAACAACATAGCGTGTGCATGGGGCAATGACTCGGTGCCACGTGGCTTTCGTTTTCATCCGCACAGCATTCGAAAGCACATGGTTGGCTGTCAGTCCCCGTCTTTTGAGACCTCGTGCCACGCTATTCGCTTTGCTTCCTTCCCTCACACACCTCGCGCGTGTGTTGGTTTCAACCATCGCTGATCGCACAAACACATCATCATCACACGCTGCGATGGGTGGGGTGGGGTGGGGTTCACGGGGTGTACACATATCCACCCATGCTTCGTGAAAGTTCATCCCTCGTTTGACATCGTACCCGTTCGTTCCCGCTCCGCGGGAATCTGCTGGCCGCATCGCAGAATCTCAACCCTCCGTTGAGTTCAGGGTATATACAGCTGAGTATATTCCCATCCCAAGAGAGCACCAAACTGTACGCCTTGCAAGCACATCCAGCGATCACTCACATCCCCTTGAGGATTACGAACCACCACAGAGACTCTCACGCCCCACCGCTTCACTCGCAGCCTGCCGATACTCTCCAAGATCGAGGTTCCTATATTTTCTCGAGGAACTGATTTCAACACTTCTGTGCTCACGCCCATCACTCCGACCACAGCCAAATCCTCGGGCGCTACACCTTTCCCAGCCGTGACTGACGGAAAGGGTAAAAAGTGTCAGTCCCGCAGTTCTTGATTTTTTTACTTGGCGGGGCGCGAGGAGGTGAAGGCTGCGCTCTCCAGCTTGTTCTTGGTGGAGCATAACAGGTTGCAGCAATCCTAAGCTTCAGAGCTTCTTTCCCTTCGCTTGTAGGGTTGAGCACCCTTCGGCTTGGCGATCGTGTAGCTTGCGACGACCTAGACCTGCCTCAGAAACTGATCGCTTTCCGCTGCGTGTCAAGGCTGTTTCGACTGACAGCCTTTTGTTGCGCCGCGCGTGTGTGTTGCTAATCACCTTGTTCTGAGCTTCAACGCGAGTAGTGACCATGGCGACAGAAGCAGCCAAAACCGCCTTGTTGACTCCTTTAGCAGCACATCTCTCCCCCTTACAGTCACACAGTTCACCACAAGCCCTCTCCAATGTCACGGCTATCAGACTACCCCACAGAACCGACCATCGCCGTGAACGATGCGTTTCAGCCTGGCAAAGCCTTTCGCCGTTTCATGTCAGAACTACGCAGAACCGATTGGTTCGGAGCAATCCAGCTCGGTACAGCTCGGTTCGGTGTGCTCTTCAAAAAGAACGGAAACGACACGAGACTGACAGGCTCTGGGATGTCCCGAACGGCGTCGAGCTTATAAAACCTTTCCATGACGCCTCTTATAACGAGGACAACCATGGAGTCTTCCCGCCTGACGTTATTCTGGAAACACGTCAAAACGCGACTGCTCATCGAATGAATCCCGAGTCCAGCCATCAAGAAGCAGACGCGAATGCCTCTCCCGAATTTTCGCTGACAATAGAGACCCACTCACAGCCTGCTGACGTGGCGATTGAAAAGGCGGGTGTCGTGGAAGCTGACGTGGCAGCTAGCTTGGAATCCGACGCGGACGGCGAGGTTGTAAGCAAGGAAGCGGCGATCGGCGGCACGCTGGCGGCTGGAGCACTGATAGTAAGCGTCGTCGCGTCACTGGCGCTTCTGGGATATTACTTTCGGGACGACATCTCCAGCGCGATTGACTACTTTACAACGTACATTGAAGGAGCGGGATCCGGGGGATACGTGACGTTCGTTCTAGGGTACTCGCTTCTGGAGGTGCTCGCGGTGCCGGCTATTCCGCTGACGCTGTCCGCCGGTGTGCTGTTCGGCCCGGCCATGGGCACGTTTCTCTGCAGCCTCTCCGGCACGGTGCGTTGTTGTAACGTGTGAGGTTTGTTTTGCGGGCACGTTTCTCTGCAGCCTCTCTCGAGGACCGTTTCTCGGTTGTCGTCTGGCGTCGGTCTTGCTTGCGTGTAGCCCCACTCTCGCTCCTCTGTATACCTTTTTTCGCCTTTTTAGGATTCTAGGGTCGACTCAAAACAACTGGGACACAGTGAAAGTGGTCTCCTGCCTCCTCCTTTCCATCCGACGCCTTCCGACTCTCAAAACTCTCATTCTCTCACAATCTCTCTCCTCTTAACACAATTCTTCGCTATCCTCCTCCCCCTTTCCCCCCCCGCTTCTGCGCGTGCCTCCAGATCTCCGCCACAATTGCGTTCCTGATTGCGCGGTACGTGGCGCGCGATCGTATTCAAGATATGGTGCGAGGCAACAAGAAGTACGAGGCGATCGACCGCGCAGTGGGGAACAACTCGTTCCGCATCGTCACTCTGCTGCGCCTCAGCCCCCTCATGCCGTTCTCCCTTGGGAACTACTTTTACGGTCTCACTTCCGTGAAGCTTCTCCCATACATCCTTGGCACGTAAGTCGTGACTGTTGTATGCATCAGTACAATCCCATCGTCACTCTGCTGCGCCTCAGCCCCCTAATGCTGTTCTTCCGCGGGAACTACTTTTGCGGTCTCACTTCCATGAAGCTGCTCCCATACGTAGTTGGAACGTAAGTCCTGGTGCAGATTGGCTCGCATGTGGCTGTAAGTTTGTCGAATCACCCCTCTCACTGCACCACCCCTCTTCCTGCACCACCCCTCTCCCTGCATCACCTCTGCATTTCCTCCGGTCCCTCGTATCCATTGTTCAGTGTTCCAAGTTAATCTTCATGTTCCCAAGCACACAGACAGGGGTCGCCTCTGGCGGATCACTTAATTACAGGCCATGTGGACTGGCCAGGTGCCTGGCACAGGGGACTCTGTCAGCAGTTCACCCCTTAGTGTCGGTCCAAAGGGTAACTCCCTCACCTTGCAGCATTTTCTCCGTGTTTCCCTGTTACCACACGCCAGGTGGATTGGCATGCTGCCAGGCACATGGGCGTATGTCAGCGCCGGATCCTTTGGCCGCTCCCTGTTGGTACGCATTCCTTAGAGCTTGAGGTCCTCTTATCATGCATTTTTTCTGGGTTATTCATCATAACTTCTCTTTCGGTGCCCATTTATCAGAATATTGCTTTCTGTGGTTCTTTAAGCTTGACCTTCATCTGCTTCCGAGTTTAATAACCATTCGGCACAATGGCATAGACACTACATACACCGCTTACCACCGCCGCTCCTCTCCCTGGGCCCAACCCCCTCTAACCCATTCCCGTCTTCCCCCTCTTCTTGCCACACCCATCCCTCCCTACCTTTCTTTCTCATTATCAGGAGGCGGAGAGTGGGACCTCACTGCTGGGGGACTCATCTCTCTATTCGCTGCTGGGTGGTGTGGCCCTCACAGCCTTCGCTGCCACTTATATCACCAAAGTCGTGCAGGTAAGGGCTTCGGTTCAAGCCTTCAAGCGTAGCACTGCCCGTGAAAGAGTTTCTACCTAGTAATTTTCTCCCTTTGTCAGCCGGGTCTTGCCAACTGTTACTCCTGTAGCTGCTGTGTCGCCTTTTGAGCTGTCTCAGAAGTTGTCACATGCTGAAGCTGTTCAATCCCCTCAATAGCTACCCTGTGCTTATTGTATTTTGTAACCGCTGTGTTACCCTTCTCCTCCCTCCCTCTCGCCTGCCTGGTTTTGCACAGGATGCTGTGAAGGAAGCGGAGTAGAGCAACCAATTGGTCACTGACTCACTGTTCATGTGCATATACTTAAATCAGTAGGAAGTGGGGAGTGAATGCCAGGGTTATCACGGTGGGGCTCATGGGGACTTTAAAAAAGGGGAGTTGCCTCAGAAGGCAAACTGCTGCATGTGCCTTCAATGCTTGTGTCTGAATAGAGCTGTGATTATAGTAGTAAAAATAACCGATGTATGCTATTTTGTAGAAATTAATGGGGTGGTTTTTAAACGCGGTAAAGTTCTTCAATATGGTGTACCATAATATGTCAGGATGGCCGAGTTGGTCTAAGGTGCCATACTCAATCCACTCTGTCAAATATTATATATGCTATATGTGTTTAGGCTGTAGTGGGGTAGCCAATATGGGGTACAGCCCACATTAGGGTTTCATATTTGTACCCAATTCTTTCTTAGTTCAATCATTCCTGCTGCTGGATTCTGACATGGTATCAGAGGACTAGGTCCATAGGACCGTCTTTTTTTCGGGCCCACCTACCGTTGCGGTTACCGCGCTACCCCACGTGTTGTCCTGCCTGCCTGCCTTGCCTTGTGACGTGTTGCGCTGCGCGCGCCGTCCTGCAGCCCTCGCGCTGCTTACTGCTGCCCTAGGCCAGCGCGCCGCCCCTGCAGGCCCGTAAGGCCCGCGCGCCGCCCCTGCAGGCTCGTAAGGCCCGCGCGCCGCCCCTGCAGGCCCGTTAGGCCCGCGAGCCGCCCCTGCAGGCCCGTCAGGCCCGCGAGCCGCCCTTGCAGGCCCGTCAGGCCAGAGCGCCGCCCCGCCAGGTCGCTGACGCGGCCCCGCCCTGCCGCTGACGCGGCCCCGCCCTGCTGCGGTCGCGGCCCCGCCCTGCCGCCGACGCGGCCCCGCCCTGCCGCTGTCGCGGCCCCGCTCTGCCGCCGACGCGGCCCCGCCAGGTCGCTGTCGCGGCACCGCCCTGCCGCTGACACGGCCCCGCCCTGCCTCTGACGCGGCCCCGCCCTGCCGCCGACGCGGCCCCGCCCTGCCGCCGACGCGGCCCCGCCAGGTCGCTGACGCGGCCCCGCCCGCCACTACCGCGGCCCCGCCCTGCCGCCGACGCGGCCCCGACATCCGCCGACGCGGCCCCGACCTGCCGCTGTCGCGGCCCCGCCCTGTCGCCGACGCGGCCCCGCCAGGTCGCTGTCGCGGCGCGCCCTGCCGCTGACGCGGCCCCGCCCTGCCGCTGTCGCGGCCCCGCCTTGCCGCCGACGCGGCCCCGCCCTGCCGCTGACGCGGCCCCGCCCTGCCGCTGTCGCGGCCCCGCCCTGCCGCCGACGCGGCCCCGCCTGGCCCCGCCCTGCAGCAGCTGCCGCGGCCCTGCCCTGCCGCTGTCGTGGTCCCAGCCCTGCAGCTGACGCGGCCCTACTTTGCAGCCGATGTTGCGGCCCCGCCGTCGCCGCCGTCGTGTGCCTACCAGGCCGCCGCCCGCCGAGCGCCGGCCCTGCTCGCCCAGCGAGCACCTGCCCTTCCCGCCACTGGTGAGCACCTGCCTTTTACGCGCGCTGCCGCGCCATCTGCCTGCCTGCCTGCCTGCCTGTCTGCCTGCCGCGCGTGCCCTGCCCGCGCTGCTACTGCTGCTACTTCTGTTACTACTGCTAGGCTACTGCTACTGCTACTGCTGCTACTGCTACTACTGGCGGTGGCCAGATGCAGCTCCAACGACGTCCGCGTGAGTCTCTCACGCCCCAGCAGCTTCGTGAGTGGTACGCTAGTTGGGGTTGTGGCGGTAGAAGTCGTGGCTGTCGCCCTGGAGCTGGTCAGTCGGGAGCGTCTGGCAGTGGCCAGCTGCAGCTGCAGCGGCGTCCGCGCGAGACACTTACGCCCCAGCAGCTTCGTCAGTGGTACGCTCAGAGTAGAGGGTCTCGGAGTACCGTTCGCTGCCCGTACGTCATTCGCACAGGTGATCGGGCTGGTCAGGCTTGCGGGACGCTTGGTCACACACAGTCCTACGGCTTCGCCCGTCTGAGCGACGCCTGGCGTACCGAGTTTGGCGACGAGGCTGAGCTCCCCACCTGGCTGGAGCTGCTTGGGCAGAGGGTAGATATCTTTGCTCACCCTACTGTCACGCGTCTGCTAGCCACAGTTGTCACTGACCCGTCGTTTGAGTCTGCTACTGCGTCTGCCTTAGTCGCTGAGCTTGTTGACTTTGCTGCTGCCTGTCGTCTAGACTACGCCGCTAGTCTTGTTGCTGAGTCTGAGTCTGTCTGTCCTCCGTCCGTCGGGGGTGAGTGTGCTCTTGGCACGGACGTCCTTGAGGACAGGCAGGAGGACCTTGAGTGTCTTGCAGCCGCTGCGCCTCATCTCGTGTCCATGCTGCTTGCCCCCGAGGGAGACCCGGATGCTCCAGACATCCCGACCCCGTGCTCTTACGCTGAGGCGATCGCGGGTGAGTACTCCTCTCACTGGCAGACAGCCATGGACGCAGAGATGGCATCCTGGAAGTCCACAGGCACGTACGTCGATGAGGTTCCCCCTCCTGGGGCGAACATCGTCAGTGGCATGTGGATTTTCAGGGTGAAGCGGCCGCCAGGTTCTCCGCCTGTCTTCAAGGCTCGTTACGTTGCTCGAGGTTTCAGTCAGCGAGAGGGAGTTGACTTCTTCCAGACCTTCTTCCCCACCCCAAAGATGACCACTCTTCGGGTGCTGCTGCACGTTGCCGCTCAGCGTGACTACGAGCTTCACTATCTTGACTTCAGCACAGCTTTCTTACAGGGCAGCCTGCACGAGGAGATCTGGCTGCGCCGCCCTCCTGGCTTCACTGGGTCGTTCCCTCCTGGTACCCAGTGGAGCCTCCGGCAGCCGGTCTACGGTCTCCGCCAGGCGCCACGTGAGTGGCACGACACACTGAGGACGACTCTTGCTGCTCTTGGGTTTGCTCCGTCGACTGCTGACCCGTTGTTGTTTCTGCGCACCGACACCACTCTGCCGCCGCTCTACATCCTCGTGTACGTCGACGACTTGGTCTTTGCCACTGCTGACACTGAGGCTCTCGCCCTGGTGAAGTCGGAGCTGCAGAAGAGACACACGTGTCAGAATGTTATAATTGTCTAGCCTGCAGTGGGGTACTCTATAGCGAGTACAACCCAATTAGGGTTTCCTATATGTATCTCAACTGCTGCTAGTGCAAATCATCCTTTGCTCATTACTGTTTCTGCCTGCTAATCTGACATGATATCAGAGCAGGTCGACCCTCCTGGGTCGATCCTGTGGGTGGGCCCCACCCGATGCTTCCGCTGCTCTACTGCTGTCGCGCGCCCCGGGCGCGCGACCCTTTCTTCCTGCCGCGCGCTCGGAGCGCGCGGCGTTTTTCATCCCGCCGTGCGCTCGGGGCGTGCGGCGGTTTTCTGCCCGCCGTGCGCCCCGAGGCGCACGGCGGTTTCCTGCTTCACGCGGCGGTTTCCTGCCCGTCGTGGCGCCCCCGGGGACCTGCGCGCTGCCCCCCGTTGCCTGTCGCGGCGCCCTGGGGACCCGCGCGTCGCCCTCCTCCCGTCGCCTCGTCGCGGCGCCCCGGGGACCCGCGCGCCGACCCCTCCCGTCGCCTCGTCGCGGCGCCTTGGGGGCCCGCGCGTCCCCCCCTCCCGTCGCCTCGTCGCGGCACCTTGGGGGCCCGCGCGTCGCCCCCTCCCGTCGCCTCGTCGCGGCGCCTTGGGGGCCCGCGCGCCGTCCCCTCCCGTCGCCTCGTCGCGGCGCCTTGAGGACCCGCGCGCGGCCCCTCTTGTCGCCCTTCGAGCCGCCCTCGGGGGCCCGTGCGCGGCCCCCCTCCCGTCACCCGCCGTGGCGCCCTCGGGGGGCCCGCGCCCTGCTCCTTCGTGGCGCCCAGGAGACCCCCCCGCCGCCTCCCTTTCCCTCCGTGAACCGCCCCTGCTGCTTCCCGCGCTCCTGCCTGCGTTAGGGTTTGGGGGTGGCGGGCATGGGGGTGACCGGTGTGGGTAACCTGCAGCTCCTCCTCCTCCTCCGTCTCCCACTGCTGCAGCTGCCGCTGAGGGGGGTGGGTGTGTGGGAGCCGAGGGTTTAGGGTTTAAGGGGGGTGCCATGGGAGTGGAGCTAGGGTTTCAGCAGGGGGTGTGTGAAAGGGGGGTGGGACAGTTGGGGGAGGTTGAGCGGAGGCTGCCGTCTTGTCGTCCGCAGCACCTGTAGTCCGGGGCGCTGTCCTGGTAGCCCAGAGAGCCTGCTGCGCCTGTCGCCCGTGGGTCCGTTGCTCCTGCCGCTCCTCGTAGCCGCCGAGCCAGTTACTCCCGTAGTCCGGGGCGCTGTCTCGGTAGCCACTGTGCCAGCCGCTCCTGTTGCCCGTGTGTCTGCAGCTTCAGCCGTCGCCTCCTATCTTCTCTCCTCTTACAGTCCCGCCTCCTCCTCCTCACTTGCCCTTTGTGAATGCCTCTAGCTTTGCTTGCACTTGTGAACCTGCTCTATGACTGCTTGCTCTGCTGATTATACCCCACTTTGACTATGGGGGTGTGTCAGAATGTTATAATTGTCTAGCCTGCAGTGGGGTACTCTATAGCGAGTACAACCCAATTAGGGTTTCCTATATGTATCTCAACTGCTGCTAGTGCAAATCATCCTTTGCTCATTACTGTTTCTGCCTGCTAATTTGACAACACGTGTACAGACCTGGGTGAGCTGCGCAGTTACCTTGGCTTGCAGATCACCCGGGACAGAGCACGCCGCACCATCACACTGACTCCGTCACACATGGTGCAGCAGGTCCTTCAGCGCTTCGGCTTCACCTGGTCCTCGGCACAGGCCACTCCTCTGGCTACAGGTCACTCGCTCTCAGCTCCACCTTCGGACGAGTCCGTAGAGCCGAGTGGTCCTTACCCAGAGCTAGTGGGCTGCCTCATGTACCTGATGACCTGCACTCGTCCTGACCTTGCGTACCCTCTTGGCCTTCTGGCTCGCTACGTGGCTCCTGGTCGGCACCGAAAGGTGCACATGGATGCTACTAAGAGGGTACTACACTACTTGTGCAGTAC